TCTAACACACTCGCTCACGCTCCACACACGCTCGTGTGCACGTCTGAAACACTCACTCACCACACACTCCTGTGCACGTTTAACACGCTCGCTCACGCTCATGTGCACTTCTAACATTCACACGCCCCAAACTCCCTCAGCTGACACGCTCGCAGCAGTGTGTGCTCCCCAGCCACGCTCGCCTGCGCTTCAACCACACTCCCACCCAGGCCTCCCACTGATGCTCCTGGTGGGCATGAAATGCTCCTATGTGCTCACACAAATACCTGCATTTACACGCACACACAGGCACTGACAGACGCACAGAGCGGTGTGCACTACCATGTTTTCACACACAGCTGTGCACGTTCACTCTCACACAGAGCTGTGCATATGTACACACACGTGGGCATGTTGACACTGACACACGTGCATTCCCTCTCGCTCACACAGCTGGGCATGCTGACACGCTCACACACAGACTTGGAGACACGCACCCCGCGCTCTCACACCCACACACTGACGCATCTGGCTATGCTGACACACACCCACTCTACCACACACACCCACACGCTCCCAGGGGCACTGGCTGCCCGCCGACCGCTCGCTGGGGGCCCCGCTGCATTCTTGGGATAAGCTCCCCCCACACCCGGGGGCGGGGGGAGGCGCCGGCCCTGCCAGGGAGGCCGTGGCCCCCACGTCCTGGGGCCCTGCCAACCCGGGGCCCGTGCGTGCTCCCCACATAGGTTGCTGGGCCTGGTAAGAGTCAACACAGCCTCTGCCCACACCCCGGGCAGGCAGTGTCGTCTCCCCCCCTCGGGTCAATGGGGAGGGGGCGGAGAGAGCCCAGCAACCCCACCCCACCCAGCCCCGGGCTGAGAGCTCATGGGGGGCGGGGGGGCGCAAACACACAACACAAATGTGAGAGAGAACCACCACCCCAAAACACACACATACCGCAAGCAAGAGACACACAAAACCCCTCCTAAACACCCCCCCCCCCAGCACCCACAGACACACCGGAGACACATCCACGCAGAGAGAGACACGACTGTACAGTAGGCGACACATGCACACGCACCTACACCCCACAAAAGAGACAAGCTACACTGAGAGGGATGCACACACGCCAGTGCACTGGGACACCACACTACGCACAGCTGCAGTTTAACACACTCGGACACGTAGAGCAGAGACACAACGAGAGCAAGACAGTTACCAACGTGACAACACACCCAAAGAATAAGAACATGCACACCCTGTACAGAAAAAAACCCATACGCCACACAGCCAGCAAGAGACAGCCCACAACACACACAGAACCGCCCACAATGTACAGCGTAACACACACACACACAGCAGGACTTGGCCCCTCCAGCAGGGGGCGGCAGGGACACATACGCTTGGGGTCCCCCTCCCCCCACGCAGTTCTGGGGGGCAGCGATGGGGGATGGCCCGTGGGACGTTCCAGTGGCCACCAGGGACGCATCTCGCAGCCAGGGGCCCCCTAAGAACACGGGGGGGGCGACCATGAGGCCATGAAAGGAACTAGGGGGCAGCCTGTCCACCCTCCCCCACCCTGGGGAACCCTGCCCCACACAGGAAGGATGTGGTCTCCCTGGCAACCCCAGACACACACACACACACACACACACACACACACACACACACCCAGAAAGCAGCAGCCGTTGCCAAGGACTCCATGGGGTCTCCAGGGTGACCCAGAGCCCAAGTACCCCCCCAGCAATGCCAGTGTGAGCGTGCGAGACACCCCCCCGGGGGAGGCGAACATGCAGAAGCAGACAACAGCGCATGAGGGAGTGCAAAGGGGTGCAAGAGAGTGCGAGATGGCAGGTGAACATGTGATGCGTGCGAAACTGCTCGGGCACGGCTGCGCCAGAGACACCCAGTGCCACCGGGCCCCTGTGTGTGTGAGCAGCTGCTCCAGCCCGGCGAGCGTGGCACTGTGGCTGAGGGCTGGTGTGAGCCTGTGCCCCCTCCCCCCAGGTGAACCCCCAGCCCCACTGCTGTGAGACCCAGGTGTGGATAACGCGTCGGAGCGTCTAGGCGGTGTGCCCACACCCAGCATCTGTGTGGATAACACACTCGTGTCTGTGGGAACGGGGAGGCATCTGTATACACGCTATGCACGGTTGACAGCCTGGAGCTGCCAGGACAGGTGTGCACAAGTGTGCAGGAGCAGCAGGTGAGGTGTGACCACAGTGTGTTAGGTGTGCCAGAGCCACGTGTGCACCACAGGGCTGTGACTAAGGTGAGGGGATCTGTGAAACATTCTGTCCATGCAAATGACATGTGAACCGGGCGTAACACACTTGTGTTCATGAGTGTGCTCCGTGTAAGTATGTCATGTGTGCAACTGCTTTGGTGCACATCTGTGCCAGCGACACGTGCGCTGGGGATAGATTGGGGAGGTGGAGAGGCCGGCTCTGTCATGTCCCCTGAACTCGTGCGACCCCATCGCACGCCCACTTGCACACCCACCCCACTCGCTCCAATATAAATAGAGACGGGGTTGGAAGCACAGGGAGATGGTCGCTCTGGTTACCGGTTGCCAGGAGACGGCAAACTCCATCCCCACTCCTGCAGGGATGGTGATGGGAGGGGAGTGAGTGAGCTGCCCGTTCACACCCACACCCCTGGGGCAGGGAGCTGGGCCCCGGCTCAGTGCGACAGCGACTGTGTGAACCCTGCACTGGGAACCCCAGACCTGTGCAAGAATGAGCATATGAGAGGGCTAGTGTGCGAGCCCCTGATGCAAACGCTGCCCCAAGAGCCCCAGGCTGTGCAAAATTGAGCGCGCGAGTCCCACGTGCAAGCCCTGCACCAGAGATCCAGGCCTGGGTAAGAACAAGCGTGCAAGAGAAAAAGCCCCATGGAGAATCGCCGAGGTACCCCACCCCAGCCTAGGCGAGCGAGCGTGGCCAGCACCAGACAGTGGGGGCGGGCGCCAGCAGGGTTTGGTGGCAGCCACGTGGGGAACCAGAGGGAGACTGAGCCCCCAGGGCCAGGCAGCGTGAGACACACACACACACACACACATAGCGTCCCCTTCAGGGCACAGGCGTCTCTCACACACACACCCAGGGCTGTACACGCTCAGCATCACACGCAGCCATGTTCCTCCCGTCCCACCCGCTGACCCCAGACCCCGTCTCCAGCCAGAGGGCATGGGGGGGGTTGCCTTTTAGGCTGAACTAGGCTAGAGATCGATGTCGAGAGCTGAGCTGAGCCCACAGACTAGTATTCAAACCAAGGCACAACTCCTAACCCGGCATCCCTCGCCCAGTGCTGAGATGCGGCCACCTCTGGAGTGGGGCCCAGGTGCTGGTTATACAGGGACCCTTCACCCGGCACAGGGATGCAGCCACCT